GTCTATCTTTTAATAAAGAACTTAAAGATAGATTAATTAATTAAGAAATTAGATATAAAATATTTAAGACCCTATAAAGTTATAGAGAGAATTAAGACTTAAGCTTATTAGCTTAAATTTCTAAAAAGCTTAGGCAGAATATATTTAATCTTTTATATCTCCTTATTAGAGCCCTATTATTAAAGATTAAGGGCTAAATCTAAGTATTTAAACCTAATCTTAGTAGATAATAAACTAGAATAAGAGATTAAAGCTATTTTAGATAAATAGATAATATAAGAAAAGAAGCAATATTTAATTAAATAAAAAGGCTATTTAGAGTATAAAAATTTATAATAGCCTAAAGAAGATCTTAAATATATTTAAGATATATTAGCTAAATTTAAGGTAATAGTATAAGCTATTAATAAGACCTCTCTAAGAAGAGCTTTAAAAAGCTCTAGAAAAAGGAATTAATAAAATTAATAAGATTTCTCTTTTTTCCTATTAGGTTTTTAAGTTTTATTTAATTATTTTATTATTAAATTTATATTACTCTTTCTCTATTTATTTATTTATAAAGGTTTAGGAGTTTTAATAAGAATATAAGAAGCTAGTCTATTTAGAAATAAATTTATTTTAACTAGGCTATCCCTAGTAAAAACTAAAAATATAGGCCTAAGATTAATTCCCCCCTATTTATTTATTTCACTATTATAAAATCTTATTAGCATAAATTTATTCTTTTTCTTATTAGAGAAAGGAGAAATATTATAAATAATATATATAATTTCTTATATGTGCTATAGATCTAATATTATTAAATAAAATAATTTAAGCAACTTTTACTAGAACTATATTATAGATTATTTATATAAAGATAGAGTTAATAAGATAGCAGATATAAGCTTATTTATATCTGCCTTAATAGGCACTTTATATAGATATATCTCTATAGAGGATTTATACTTATTATAAGCCTTCTTAAAAGACCTATAATTATCTAAGAGATAGGCCTCTTAACTAAGGCTTTATAAATAAATAAGCTTATCCTTATAAATTAATAAGATTAGAATATAGAGCTTATATTTATAACTATAGTAGTTATACTTAATATTAATATTAATATAGATATATTAAAGTGCTAAATTCTTAATTAGCCCCTTTAAATAATAAAGGCATATCTTTTAAAATATTAGAAGAAATTCCTTACTTAGCCTAAAGATAGTAAGGCTATTCTCTATTATTATATTAATAATAGTAATAATAATAATTTTAACTAATATTTTAATAGCAGCTAGTTTAGTCTAAGTCTTTATATTAATAATCTCCCTATATTCTGCGCTTTATTTTTAAGGCCTTTTTATAGTATAAACAGAAGTTATTTTTAGCTTAGCTATAATAGCTAGCCTAATAATAAAATAAGTCTTTTTTTTTAATAAGCTTTTTAGCGCTATTATTAAGTTAGATAGATTTATTTATATAATAGCTAAGACTATAAAAAAAGGCTAGTTTAATAAAAATATAAATCTTCTATGCCTTAATTCTAGCGCAATATTTATCTTAGCTAATAGATTCTCTATAGGATTTAAAGTAAATAGAGATACTAACCTATTAATAGCTATAAAAGGAATAATACTTAACTAAGGAAGTAGTCTCTCTAGCGTTATAATAATAGCTAGAGTTCTTAATATCTTAACAGTAGTTAGAGGATTATAATCTAGAATTATATTAATAATTAGATCTAGCTATATCTTAGTAATAGTAACTGTTTCCTCTATAAGGAATATAGGAGGAGGAGATAGCTCCCTAGAAAGGGAGATAATTTCTTCAGGCTATTAATACTAATAAAATTAGTATATATTATATAAATCCTAAACTAAAATAATTATTTAAGAAGTCTTACTATAATAAAGCAGTATAAAATAAATTTTAGGACCTATAGTCTAATTAGATTAGCGGATATTAATATAACTAGTTAAAATAACTTACTCCTAGAGCAAGAAGCTCTAAAAATAAATAAAAAGCAGCTAATTTTTTAAAGTTTTTTAAGCTATTATATTATTAGCATTATTATGCCTTTAAAAATATATCTAGATCTTTATTTAAATATATTTAAGATTAAGAGCTATATATAGCAGGAGGTAAGAAGATAATTATTAAGGGTTAAAATTCTAATCTTATAATATTATATAAATAATACTTCTAGCTTATATAATTTCTTAACTCTTTATTATAAAGGCAGTAAGAAGCTCCTTTATTTATTATATTATAAACCTTTATAAAGCTATACTTTATATTTAATATAATAACTTTATAATAGCTTAAGGATAAGCCTTTAAAAAGGGGGGGAATATTATTATACCCCTAATTTTTTATTAAGGCATAAGCTTACAGGACTATAGTAAAGCCCTAAATCTAAATATAATACTAAGGTAATTAGTTAATCCTATTCTCCTTACTTTTAGGATTTATATAAGATAAAGCTAGGAAATATTTAAGATTTAGAATATAAATAGGCTTTAGATTATTATCTTATTAGAAGCTAGCAATCTATTCTAATATAATATATATTCTACTATTTTCTTACTTATATAGACTCTTTATTATTAAAATCCTCTAGTATAGATCCTTCTTTATATTAATTAAACCCTTTATTATAATAGTTAACCTTTTGTCTTGCCAATAAACCTTTCTTTAAGCTAAGTATATGAAGCTGTTATCCCTCTTGCTATAATCGCGGGCGGAGTAATTCGCCAGCAACCTCCAGGAACCCCTGTTCCTTACATCTAATACCTTTAAATTCTCTACCTAAAACTAAGTGTAAAGCTCTTATATGCTAATTTAGATCTAAAATAAGATAATAGCTTTAGGTCTATATCAACTGGCTAGCTGTAAAATCTGTAAGTAAGTCCAGGACACGCGTAGCATAGCCTAAGGGCTTATAATAATAATGTATTATTATTATTATTATGGTATTATCATTATTTACCTCCCAAGGCTCCCACAATACGGATTAAAAAGAACAAGCAAGACGCCAAGCGCCGGACCGGACCGGTCCGAGAGGCGCGGAAAGGCCCAGACGGGGGGCGGTTCTAGAGTAGAGCTTCTGCTGGGTAAGTAAGTATGTGGATGTGTATGTATATGTTAACTATGGTATGGTACTATCTACAGCTAACTATTATTAATCAGTCTTTGGTAAGTTCCCTGGGAGTAAACGTTTTACAAGTAAGTAACATAGACGAAGCTGCCTACTCCTGCGAGTTGGATTTGTTTTCGATTTGCTTTTTGTTTCCCCTTATAGCTTCGAAGTATCATAGAGTACTTAACTTATGTATGGTGGAATTTCTTGTGAACATTAGAGAATGAATGTGTAGTTAGTTAGTTACCTAGTCAGTGAGTTCCCTTTACTTGCGCTTGTCATGTAAGTAACTACTCTGCTTTCTTTCTTTTTTGGGATATCTGACTAATAGGTAGTTAATTATCTCATTCCGTGCTGCAAGCAAGTTATTAACTAACTAAATAATCCAAGAGTGTCTTCTAGAAGTAAGTAACTAGCAATTATTTCTCGAACGAAGTTATGTAATTGTAGTCATTGGTGAGAAGTAGTACTGTATCATTTGCAGTTTTTGACTTGACTTGACTTGACTTACTTACTTTACATCCCCTGGCATACATACATACATAGTTAGCTTCGAGCTATCTATCTATCTATCTATCTAGTTATCTACCGGGTATTGTGGTCATACATAAAATCGAAGGGAATTAATTTACTATCCCATGGTATTTGACCATGTGTTGAAATGAAACTAGTTAATAACTTGGTTAGTTAGTCTCTGCGAGATAAGTAGTAGTTGTAGGGAGTAAGTAGTAGTACATCGTACAAATCTCTTCTTCGTTCTACTTTTTTTTTTCTTCTTCTTTCTTTCTTTCTTTCTTTCTTTTCATATGGAGAGAGAAAGTAAAGTGTTCCTTTCGCAAACTGGACGGGTTAAGTCTCGATCAATGGTCTTTCTTAGGAATGAAGGGGGAATCGCGTTCGGGATTGAAATCTCTTGAAATGTTAATTTAATATGTGGTAAGGAGAATAGTGGCATTCAAGAGAGACCAGTATGGTACTACAGTAGTACCTATTGAGAATTTGAGATTGAAGTTGAAATGCTACTAGATTCGTTTGTGGTGGTTGGTTCCGATCTATGCATATTTGTTGTCTCATATTTCTTCTGGCCCTGAGATATAACTACCTAACTAGGCCAGTTTGATATTGGCTTGGCTTGGCTATTATGCTGTAATACTTATTGACGAATCAGGTCTAAGAGTAATTTCGTCATGTCCTGCACTTCGTCGTCGCCAGCAATTATTCATAACTTCTCCTACCACTGAAATACATTCTTTGAAGGTATTGATATTCGAAAAGACTAAAAACCTGGCGACCAGATCGGGCGGCCTACAGAGTGAAGACCGGCTGATAATCGTGCATTAAATACATGAATAGAAAGAAAACAGTGCTTTTCTGCAAGAAAGCCGTATGGATTGGACGTCCCGTTCCCTTCCAATCTGCATATCGGGTTTGCTTTCGACGGCACCGTGATTAGCTGATTAAAGGAAAGGGGGGAAAATCAGACATGGCGAAATAAAAATGTCGCAGACAGGCAGACGAGCTAAGCGATGATATACACGCTCGAGATGGCGGAAGAGAAAGGTAAGGAAAAGAAAAGCAAGGAGACCCTGACTCGAGATGAGATGTAAGGTAGAGATAAAGAGTCTGTGTGGACACCAATCCCGAAAGGGTGCCAAGATGTGGGTTTGACGACTTCAGGTCGCATCAAAGAGAGACTGTGGGTGAGACTTGAGACAGATAAGGAAATTGTTGTGGTGAGGTTAGGATAGGTTCGAGACGTATCCGGCAATAAAGACTAAGGAAATGTTTGTGTTCAACAGTTAAGCCAATCTGTTCCTGCTGCGGTTTCGCAATGGAGGATCAGTGACGTTGGATATGTTTAGGAAAGGTCGCTTGCGAATCAGGCAATGAAGGAACGCCAAATATGGCTATGCAAGTGGAGGACAAGAAAACGAGGCACCAAATAAGGGAAAAAACGCTCTGAACAAGAAACTCCTGAAAAGGCCAGACGAATGGCAGAATTTTGCGAACGAGTGGGGGGGGGAATGATGAAAAGTAGGATTCCTCTGCTTCGGATGACCGCAGGATCAACTGCTTAGGACAGATGGTCAAGCACCTTGGCCATTTTCTTCGCGCGCGCCGGATCCTCAACAAGAAGGTCATGCTGCTTCAACACTACTTGCATGCTGTCAACGACCTTGTGGAAAGACGACGCCGCTCCTCGCTCCTGGCGGAATTGAATAAGACTGAGGTTTGCATGACGACCATGCTCCAACACGGTAAAGAACTCTGCGGAGAATTCAACAGGACGTAGACGGAGGACTAAATCCATGTCAGTTGAACTCAAACGAATACTTCAGCTCTGGAACTCACAGTTGACTTGTCCCACACGACCGTAGATTACGTTGTTGGCCTTGTCCAAGTGGACCTCTTCCATACCATATCGCTGCCAGTCCCTCAGGGTCTTGTACACATCCTTTCGGCCCTTCACCTTCGATGTGTTCAAGGCCACGACACGAGTAGCTGGCTTAACATGGAAGAAGCGAGCAAACCAGTTCGGGTTACCCGACTTATGGGGCCTTCTCACAGACTTGCGGCGATTAACGGGCTGCTCAGAAGCTTCACTGACTGCAGGACCAGTGACCACAGAATCAACATCACCAGCTTCGCTCTCACCTATATCAGATAACTATGTAAGCATTTGCCATCTGAAAAGCCAGAGATATTCCTTACCAGTGCTGATTTCATGGGCCGGCTTGCTCGCCTTTTTCTTGCTGAACATCTTAAGGAAGCCTCCCTTGCTGCTCTTCTCGAAGGATTGCTTCTTCTTAAGCGTGTTTGGGGCATCGTCGTGGGAGTCTACAGGAGTAAGTGGGCACTCCTGCACAACGATGCTCGTGTCACTAGAATGAACAGCCTTGACATCCTTCGGCGGAGTAGGCGGCCGTTCTCCATGAGGTTCGAACCTAGACTTGTTGAACCACGACCATTTCTTGCCTTCACCAGGACCCTTGCCGTCGGTGCGCCGTGGAGACCTCGGGTTCTCCTCAATCGGCTCCAGACCAAGGTAGTAGCGGTTACGAGAACCGCCCGAGACATATCTGTCCCGCTGGTCGAATGTGGGACTCTCAGGGCTGTGCAGCTGGATGTAAGAATCAGCAGAGCTGTGTCGAGGCGTCATCGCCAACCGTGGAGGCTGGTTCTTCTTCCGAATGGTAAGTGGCTTGATTTCCTCGAGAGAACCGAAGGAGTCCTGAGGGACCATGCGGATAGTAGCTCTCTTGTCTTTGGTGATCTTGCCGTCAGAACGTCGACTGGAATCTGAGGGTTTCCTCTGATCAACAAAGTTGAGGTCCAGATCGGGAGTGCTGTCCATCGGGGAGAGCAGCTCCTCGGAGATGCAAGGCAAATAAACCCCTTCAACGTTTGGCTTTGTGATGGGATCGGAGATTGCTCGCCTGTACGGCTCGTTCTCGTCTGCTTTCTCGGACTGCTTGTTTCTGTATTGTTTCGGCCTGTCTTGTTCAATCAGGCGATCCAGATGCGAGATGACATCCGACAGGTATTCTGGCAGTTTCTCAGACCCAGCCTTGGTGGAGTGTTCGATCAGTCTACGACGCGTTTCGGCAAGATCGTTAACGGTCTTCGAGTCAAACCGTTCCGATGCACGTTCTTGCAGAGTGTTTCCACTCGACTTGCTGTTCATGATCAACTGCTGCGAGTTTTCTGGCGTCAAGAGAGAAACTGACGTCGCTGGCGTCTCGGAGTTCGACATGTATTGGCTGCTAGAAGCAGTATGACGAGTGGACACAGAGGATCTGTTGAACGCTTCCTCGCAGATCTGACTGAGCTCGTTGGAGACTTTCCGAGCATCCTCCTTCCAGTACAGATTAGGGTCACGAATCCTCATTTCAGCAGCAGGCTTGATCGCTACAGGGGTTCGAACGACTGCCTTCGGTGATGGTAGTGCAGGACTAGCATCTCCTTCGGGTGACATTCCATCACAAGGTAGCTTGGGCACCTCTGGGACATCCTTCGCCTGAACCTGGGCAGCCTTTGCCTTAGCAGACATACCACCCTGAGACCGGTTACGAACGTGACGGAACGAGACATTTCTCTTGTAGCTGGCAGAGCGGCCGCTTGGCATCGGGCTGTACCCAGGGCGAGCACTGGAGATGGAGCTGCGAGAGTGGAATGACCGTGCAGCGCTCTTGGGTTTGTTCGTACGCAGGAGCTCGAAGGAAGAACTTGAAGGCATGGGGGCCTCTTCCGGCTTGCTCATCTTTTCAGCCGGACTGGGGCTACTTCCAGGACCATCAGCTATATCTTCATAATCTGAGAGCCCTGAGTCCCTTCGGTGGACGGTGACATTGGCGTATTCCACATGCGGGGTACCTATCGGGTTCTTAGAGGGCCTATACGGGTCATAGCTCTCCACGGTGCGTGTCGATTTCGGCGTGTCCCTTGCCTCTTTCAAAGAGCCGAAGCGGCTGACTTCGGGGATGACTGAGAACTGTGAACGTCTACGAGAGAGAGAACCATGACCGCGGCTGTTCTGGGTCCTCTTGACGGCTGACCGAACGGCTGAGCGTGAAATGTGATGATAGTCACTGGCAGAGTACTCCAGAGGCTGTCCCTGGTAATTTTCTAGTTGCTCGTCCCTGAATTTAACAAGAGCATAGTAGAACATCTTCTCCTGGTTAGGTCTATGAAAACCGTCCGGTTAGTAAGGTTCGTCAATAGTAGTGGTTATACATCCATCACTTACTCTTTGTTGAGCAGCTTCTCGATTAAGACCTCCGGCTTAACGTCATGCCATAATGTCTGAAGGTTACGGAGCAAGTCCATGTCAATGTCCTGGCGGCTGGGAACAGGCGGACCACAGGCCTTGGTGGAGAGTGGTGGCGGAAGACCGACTGGAGAGTCAGACATAGCTTGGTGGAGTGTCTCGTACTTCTTCAGGAGAGGATGCTGCCACATCTTCTCTATGCTGATCCGATCTTCCGGTCTTTTCTGCAAGATACGTTGGATCATATCTGCTGCTTCCAAGCTGAGGGAGCGTGGCAGGAAGTATTCTCCCTTCTTCACGAGACGTAGAGTGTTTGGTAGATCGCCACCATCGAAGGGAAGAAATCCAGTCAGTAAGGCATAGAGGATAATCCCACAGCTCCAAATATCTGCTTTATCGCCACGATATCTGCGTCCATAGATAATCTCAGGAGCGGCGTAGTGTGGACTGCCGCATGATGTGTTCAACCAGTATCCTGCTGGCTGTAGAGCGGCCATTCCGAAGTCAGCAAGTTTGATGTTGTGGTTGGCATCCAGCAAGATGTTTTCTGGCTTGAGGTCCCGGTGGCAGATATTGAATCGATGGCAGTATGCGAGCCCGGCAATGATTTGTCGAAATAGGCGAACTGCCTCCTCCTCTGGTAGAGGACCGTTGGTCGAGACGTATTCGAAAAGTTCTCCACCTTCTACGTATTCAAGCACGAGATATCTGCAAGGGGTCAGTTATGACAAGTCTATACACGCTTGGTTCTTCGTGCTTACAGTTCGCCTCTGTTCTCCCAGACATCGTATAAGTTGATCACGTTGGGATGTTCAATCAACTTCATAATTACCACCTCTCTCTCAATACCGCATGGCATTGGTCTCGCTCCAGCTGAACCCATAGCTCCCGCCAGGAGACCCGCGTTTCGGTCCATCGCTGCAATGCTCTCACTCTGCACCATTGCCGCAGACTTCTTCGAAACGATCTTTATGGCAGCAGCTTGACCTGTAACTGCGTGCTTGGCTAGGCGAACACGGCCCGTAGCCCCTTTACCAAGGGTCTTGCCAAGTTGCCATGGTCCGACATGTGTCTTTCTCCGTCCCTTTCCAGAAGTGGTGGATGCTGTCGATATGGCGGAGTTACGGTTCGACCCAGCTTCAGTTACTGCTGATAGGCGTTTGTTTTCCGCCCTTCCAGTAGAGGTAGGGGTGACTGGAGGAGTCATAGCATCCGAGACCTTCAACTGGTCGTCGTATCCACGACCTCGTGTAGCTGGTCGTGCTGGTGAATTGTTGACTCTGGTCGTGGCATCTGTGAGAGGGGCACGCCTTGATGGTGGGCGGCCAATGCTGTCTGTGTTGTCCATCACTGAGGTCTATGATCAATTTCTGGTACTGGGCAGAGACATTGAATGAATGGCGACTGGTGTGAAAATGCGTGTGTAGTCACCAGAGATAAACAGTTCAGGTTACTCCGCAACGCTCACACTGGCATATGGTCTTTGTGCTCTGATGATTTCAAACTAAAAGACAACAGCCTTTCTTTCAGCCAATTAGTCTCTCTTCAAAGGGCTACTGATGTTAGCCTACAGTCAGCACACACCTGATGGTATTTCTCAATGGTGTTGTCCAAAGCACTGTTTCAGTTCTGTATTTTCCGGGTATAATGATCGATTCGATTATTGCTTAAACGAGAGGACGGATTAGACCAATTATTAAGATTGAGAAAGATATTAAACGAGTGTCAGGTATTTCGATAATGGCAGGTAGCGAAAGAAGTGGTGTCCTGGCGCTCAGGCAGAAGCTAAGGTTTGTGTCGACTCTCGACAGGCAGCTGTCGTCCGTATACTAACATCGACGTCCACACGTCCTCCTGAGGCACCCCGAACTTTTAGGAAACGAGACCATGAGCACTCGCGCTGCAGACATGCCATGGCAAGGTGGGAGGGACCGAGGAATGAACATTGATAGGGAAATAGCCCTTGACGATTCCACTTGAATACCACAAGTTCCCCGGGCCACCGGCGGCATTGCCCTGAGGAATGCACCATCTACGGACTTCAGTCCTCGAACCGCATCCTCACCAGCATGTAAGGACAATGCAGTGGCACAATGTCGCTTTCCTACATCCGTTAGCCTGTGCTAATATTTGTTCATTACAGTTTCACGGCCAAAAGTGCGCAATTCGCATTATCCAAGAAGCGAAATAAGACAACTGCTCCGCCGGATCAAACAATGAAGTACGAACGTTCACAATGGAATATCACCGCTATCAATTGCCTGCGCGCAAAATCGAGATGAGTTCCCATGCAATTGAGCTGTCCAAGATCGACAGAGCCAACCTCGCTCCCAGTCGATCGCGAATCTGATTGATGGTGGAGGGGACCGATCATTATCGCTCGCATTCCTCAGGTGGAGAGGAACCATCTCGGCTGGATAGCACACATCGCGTATAACCACTGCAGAACTATTTCCAAGAGTTTTATCTCTGATCTAGCTCGTTAGTCGCTTAAATCCGCTCGCTTGGCTAGCTCAGAGTCCAGTAAGGCTGGGGAACTGGGAAAAAATCGCAGGAACCCGTGTCGCGCGGGCACATTCCGGTCATGGCCTTGGATATGAGATGAGATACACCACCCGTTCCACACATTCTTCATCGTCAATGGTCGAACCAAAGGAAAAAGCAACCATGAGAACAGGTCTCATGTGGATTCTACCATCAGAAGAACCAAGATCTCGGTACGGAGGAGTCGTACCCGTCCGTCGAATGCAATTGTGCATAAATATCGGGGGTTGCTCCGTCGTCGTCGAAAAAAGCGAGGGAAGGGACGCAGCTCGATTTCTTAGCTAAGTTGTGGCTCGTAACTAATTACTAGACTTTCCCATAACTGGGAAGGATCCGGGAGGGAACAGGAGGCTGTGGAGAACGATCTGCGGGGATAGCTGTGCGCGAGTCCTCTGGAGTATGCAACAGTGCAGGGCTGTAAATCGGCAGCAAGCTACTCCGTATAGCCGATATAGATGGATTGAGTCATGTAGTCGGTGGTAGTTATCCGACACAAGTTTACAAGACCAGCTGTCTGGATGACTCCGATGTAGACAATACAAGGATGCTCCCTAGGGTACAAAAATAAAGGCTTCTGGTTCTCTATTCGAAGACCATGATTATTTATTAATCTCATCAGATCAGCAGTAGACATATAGCAGCAAAACAAGAACATCAGCATGCCAATATATTTCCACATCTATCTGTGCGCCAAATTGTCCTGTCTGGCAATAATATATATCATAACATGGCAGCCCACCAATATCCGGATCCCACTATTATTCGGACGACTCTTTCATCTGATCTCAGCACACAAGTCTTTGCGTGTTTAGTAGATAGCCTCATCTTACGAAATCTCTCAGAGTCCAACGAATAAATAAGCAATTTCATACCTCATCTGCTTCAATCTACCATATTTCGTAATAATAATAGTAGGATAAACATCCATTTTTCCCGTAACAAATTATTTAAAAAAGAATAAACTCATCTCCTCTCCAATAAGTATCCCTAATGCCTTTAAACACCTACCAATGCTCCTCCCCAATCTTCACCTCATTCACATCAACCCCATCAACAAACCACCTCCCTTCCCCATTCCCATCCGGTCCAATCAACACATCATTCCCACTCATCTGCCGCTTCCGCATCTTCCCCGTATCGCGATCAAACGTCCAATCCTCCAGACCATAGCATCGCTTCCAGCGCATCCCATCATGTGCATCCTGATACTCGTACCAGAACTGCACGGCAATGCGATCGTCCGTGTACGCAAACAGCTCTTTGCGGAGCCGATACGATTTCTCCCGCTGCCATTTCGCAGTGAGGAAATCGATGATGGCGGCCGTGCCGGTGAGAAAGGTGTCGCGATTACGCCAGATCGAGTCTGGAGTGTATGCGGTGGCGATTTTGGAAGGGTTTCTAGAAGGACAGGAAAGAAGGGGAGGGTGTGTTGTCAGCTTTTCCTAGTTTGGGTAGTATGATGTTGGTTTTGTAGAGTAAATAAATAATATAGCGGCTAGTTAGGTGGGGATGCGGCTTTTTCTTCATCATCATCATCTTCATCTTCTCTGTCTTTTCTCTTTTTCTTTGCAGCACATAGAGAGAGAGGAGGGGGGAAGTAAAGGCGACATTGGGATTGGATCGGATTAGACACGATTATACTAATAGATAGGACATTGAAGAGGCTCATCAAAGGGAGAAGCAAGGGATGCGGTAGACTATTGCGTCTTGTCCCGCATTCTTTGCGATTCCGGGAAACCCATCGATCACATCGCTCGGAAGGGGGGAAGTACGGTAGTAATAATAGCCACGAGCAGATGACCACCACAACGATAAGAGAATTTGAGTAGAAACGGCCCGAAAAGAATAGTCATCATAATAAAAACAACAACAATAACAATAACAATAACAATAACAATAGGATTACCACCGCTTACTGTGTATTCCAGGCGTCTTGAGCAACCTTGAGCTTTTTCTGCGCCGTCTCTGCAGTGAATGGGGGCTTGAGATCGGCCATTTTGAGCCTGATGCGAGAAATATATATATATATATATTTCTGTAGAGTGTATATTTATATTTTTTGGGGGTTAATTTCGAGAGTGATTATTTTGCTATTCTGGTTTAATTCACCGTGACAATGTCGATGGAACATGTATCATAGGAGCAGTGACACTACCCTTGAGAGCTCCTATTTAATTCATGACACGGGGTTTGGTTAGGCCAGCCACGCCGTCCGGGATCTATGCCCGCGTCATGAACAGCTTTGAGGCCAATAGTTAACTTTATTCAGTATCAACTAAGTAACTAGTCAGTTATTAATGAAGTTCGAAGCTGTTGACTCATATCCACGGCCTGGATTTCCATCATATGTCAGCTGAACGAGACCAGCTAGATTGGTTAATAATAATAACACTGCGCAGAATAATAATCGAGATGATGATGAGGAATCAGTTCTGGAAATCGATCGCCGTGGGAGGCAAGACTCGGCGACTGGCCGGCCGGCACCTAAAATAGGGAGGCGGAGATCTACGGAGCTCGGACCTTGGGAGAAAAGTTTTCTCGGAGCTCCCAAGGAACGAGTTGCTTGAGACTCCCAATAGACTAGCATCCTCACTGCCACTCTTTGTCTATATCCAATCTGATTCTCAAGCGGTCTTCTACATCGTCAGGTGAAGTTCACATAAGCTCTGTTGTAGCCCAGCCTTAGAACCATCTTAAATGATTCTCGGCCGAGTGTGTCGAGACTACAGTACTACTACGGAGAGCATGACGTCTCGACTCTCTCCCGTTGTCGGTCTTATCTGATCGATCGGAGGAGGGGGGGTCGATACTTACGTAAGGCGGGGTAGTTTCGGAGTGCTCTCTCTTGGGGTGGTGAGACATGGCCTTTGAATTGGAGAAGAGGAAGAAGAAGAAGAAGAAGAAGAAGAAGAAGAAGAAGAAGAAGAAGAAGAAGAAGAAGAAGAAGAAGGAGAATGATAAGGATAATACTATTTTGATATTAAAGATCAGGCATTTATTTCCCTCTTGAGGCTTCTCCTGTAGCAATTGCTCCGTCGAAGAGTTGTAGAGTTCATTAACCATGGAATCCATTGACGTGATGGCCAGGGACGCAGCGAAAGCGATAGAAAGCCCGTGACAGGGGATGCCCGGCGGTGATTCGTCGGCGGTGACATGGGTCGCATGCATGCAAATGATGGTAGGCGATTATTCTTCTGCCGTCTTATGGTAGGGATCCGATATAGCAACTACGTACTGCAAGAACCAGCGGCGGATGGTCGGGGCATCGGCTCAGAGGAAGCACACATCTCGGGATCGGAGGGCGATGAGGCTGTTTCGTGGCCGTCGTGCGTGATGATGGAAGTATCTACCAGACTACTACTACGATTAGTTACCAGCAGAGTCGAACACCTCAGCGGGATTAGTCAACGTGGGCGGTCTAGATAACCACAGCAGTCGGCGGTGGGGGGTTTTTCTGGCGGGGCATCTCAGTCTCGGGCGGTCTTCTTGATAATACAGGAACCATTCGATTTCCAGCTGGCAGTCAAGGTACCGCTTCGGTTTCCTTCCGTTTCGGATCAGCTCACTGCGTATCACTGCCCGACCTCCAACTATATTAACCTCCACGCGCCCCGCCTCCCTCGTCCTCGACTCTTCCCCGTCTCCAAGTTGATCAGAACCATCCATCTGAACTCTCTCACTCACTCTCACTCTCTCATCCATCCTCCCCCGTCTTACAGACAAATCCATCAACATGGCTCCTCTTCAGCCCGGTGACTCTTTCCCCGAGGGTGTCGTCTTCTCGTAAGTTCATTGTCTTTCTCTTCAGGAACTTTCTTTCGTCCATTCGATGTCGGATGGTGCTGACACCCTGTCTTCTTGTAGCTACATCCCCTGGTCTGAGGAGGCTGGCGACATCACCGCTTGCGGTATCCCCATCAACTACAAGGCCTCTGAGGAGTGGAAGGACAAGAAGGTTGTCCTCTTCGCCCTTCCCGGTATGTCAATTCCTGCTGGCTAGCTCCCCCCCGGTCTGTCCGACTCGTTCGTCTGACCTTCTTCTCGTTCAGGTGCCTTCACTCCTGTCTGCTCTGCCAGACACGTCCCCGGCTACATCGAGGCTCTCCCCAAGCTCCGTGAGAAGGGTGTCGACGTTGTTGCCGTCCTTGCCTACAACGACGCCTACGTCATGAGCGCCTGGGGTAAGGCCAACAAGGTCACTGGCGACGACATCGTATGTTATCCCCTTCCGACTCCGAATTTGACACCCGATCAAACTGATCCTGACTGTTTCTTCACAGCTCTTCCTGTCTGACCCTGAGGCCCGCTTCTCCAAGAGCATCGGCTGGACTGACGCTGAGGGCCGCACCGGCCGTTACGCCATCATCATCGACCACGGCAAGGTCACCTACGCCAAGCGTGAGCGTGAAAAGAACGTTCTCGAGGTCTCCGACGCCGAGTCCATCCTCAAGGCTCTGTAAATCACAGGTGGCGGGCTCAACTCATAGATTGATGACAGTGGCGTGATAATGACCTTTTCTTTTCTTCTTTAAAGAGGATATAGCATAGACTAGAATCCCGCTCAATAGAATACCCTTTGACTCAATCAATCGTCCTTGCCCATCCACTCATGGTGAACGTAGTCCTTTTATTTATAGAGTTCTAGACGAGATCGACTGATCGACAGGTGGCCGTCGAGCTAAACATGGTGGCTGCCCGGGGTGTGACGAACGATCCTCTTGTTCCCTCCGTACCCATGACGCGCCAAGCCGTAAAGAGCTGTCGAGAAATCGCATATTAAATTTCCGCGGAATATCCCAAAACGCCGCCGCATAAAAAAAGAAACCACAACACGACCTCTATCACAACAAAAGGTCTTTTTTTTTTGCCCCGCCCGGCCGAAATGGCCCTTAATCAATCCTCGAAACGCAAACCTGCCTTCCCCAACTCCGGAGGAGGCAAAGACGGCTCTTCCGCTGCTCGAAAACGCGCCAAGACCTACGATGCTCGCGCTTTGGCCGTGCAGACGTCCGATGCCGCGCTCTCAGCGACGGGCGATCTGGATGTCGCGGCCTTTGTAGGGGCTCGTGAGTTCGAGATCCGCGCCCTGGAGGCTGGAATGCAGCGGTCGAAAGCGGCGTTGACCAGTCGTGCGTTTCAGAAGGTGCCTCGATCTTTGAGACGGAGGACGGCTAGTCATAATGTCAAGAGGGTGCCGCGTCGGTTGAGGGCGAGGGCTAAGAGGGAGGTATGTATTCTACATCTGTGACTGTGTGTGGGATTTTATGTGGAGAGAGAGGGAGAGAGGAGCTCGTTTCATGGTGTTGGGATGGTTGAGTTTGAAACGAAAGCTGTGTTTTTTACTGAGTGTTATATATCTAGATGATTGAAGATAATACTCCCACCGTGACAGCCCGACGGAGAAAACCGACCCAGCTCCTCCGTCTACGTCTCGAGACGGCCAGACGACTCCAGGGGCTGAATGCGAAGACGAAAGCAAGACGTGCGGCGTCCAAGGCCAAGCGGGATAAGGAAATGCGGAAATTACTCTCCGATGAAGGAATCCATTCTTTCCAGATCGCGCCTCGTGTTCCCAAGATCAAGAAGAATAAACTCTCGCATCCGTTTCCGCCAGAGTCGAAATTCAAGAAGCGTCAGAGGGGAAAGACATGGTTGCCTACGCATATGTTTCATGCTAAGCGGGCCCATATGACCACGGCCAACGAGCCGTTGTGGAGGTTTGCGGTGCCGCTGTCTCCCACGGAGAAGAGCTATAGACCTACCCATCGGGCTGCGGGTGCGAGGGGGGCTGTAGCGTGGGATGTCAGTTATATGTCTACGATGCAGTTAGAGGGAACTGAGGCTAGTTTGGAAAGCGTTCTGAGGGCAGTGGGAGTTGTTGGGGACGAAGCGTGGGGAACGAAAGGGAAGAAATGGAGACAAGGGACGAGGAGCCTGGTCGCTTGGGTATTTGAACATGAAGGAGAGAAGAGGCCGATCGCGCCCGTGACATTGATCTGGCGTGCAAGAGACGCGCAGGAGGATGTTGAGATGACCGATGCCGGGGACCAGAGTGGCCCGCGCAAGACTAAGAAGCCTAGGGAGAAGCTGTTCGTCCGAGTACATCCGTCAGCGTTTCTTCAGCTGTGGAATGAACTCTTAGAAGTATCAAAACGCCAGAACCCTCCTGTCATGGTGGAAGACTTGCGCTTTGAGATCGGGAGCATCGATATCACTGGTCCTGGGGCGACGGAGGCATTACTAGGTGCACTCAAGCCGCTGCAAGAGGATGGGAAAGACTTCCCCAAGGACAGTCCAGAAGCGACTTGGTCCTCTCTTATAAGCGTCACGAACCCTTCTTCTCTTCCCCAGAATGCCATCCTGGCTTTCTCAATATCTGATCCTCGTCTACGCTTTCCTCCAAGGAAGATAAAACCACCTACTTCCGAGCAGAGCATGAACGATCTTGCTATCTTACTAGCCTCGTGGCCGGTAGACAAGACTCAGAAGCCTGCTGCGCTGTTTGACCGTCCTGCACGTTTGGCCGCTGCTCGCCAACTTCCCAGCCAAAAGGCCATCAATCGACGACGGACCCTGGCTGGACCAGGAACATATCCGTCCCCACAGCCTTCAGATCCAAGTATTCCTGTCATAGTTCTTGCATCCAAGCCAGGTATTATGGCCAAGAACAGCAACGCCCAGGGTACCTGGACCGTCCTTCTCCCCTGGAAGTGCCTGGTTCCTGTGTGGTACTCACTGATGTACCATCCGCTCTCCAGTGGAGGAAATCCTCGATTTGGCGGTCTCAAAGAACAAAGGCAGCTTGCTTTCGAAGTGGGAGAACCGTGGTTTCCAGGTGATTTCCCGGGTACTCAGGCAGGCTGGCAATGGGGCTTGCGTGAGCGAGAGGAGGCGAAGAAAGAGTGGGAGAGGAAGCCAAAGGGCCGGAGAACCGAGTTCGAAAGCATAGATCTTGGAAACGGCACGAAAGGTGAAATAGGGCGTGGATGGGCTTGTGACTGGGAAAGACTGGTAGAAGGTCCTCCCGAGGTCGCAGTGACGGAGAATGCAGACACTGCCGCTCAGAAAGACTTGGAGAGGAAGAAAACTGCATCTGAGGCCGCTGATTCGTCCACAGAGGACAACAAGAAGCTGAATGCTATCCCACCGTATAGTCTACACCAGCTTACTTCGAACACGGCTCATAGGATTGTGAACCATGTGTCTGGGCCTCTTCCTGCAGATCTACAGAGCCTTCTCGACAAGCCCGCCCTGGCAACTGTCAAGATCTCTCTCTTCAATCGTGGCACTCCCACGCCACGTGCCCGCATCTACCGCCTCCCAACGACAGACGATGAACTACGCCAGCAGTGGCTTTCATTAGCATCTCCTGTGTCTACTACATCCACACAAAATGGGAGCCAATCCCCCGTCCAGAAGGGAAAAAAGAAGCAAATCCAGAGCCAGAGCCAGAGCCAGTCCCAGTCCCAAACCACACCATCAGAACAAGAACGGCGCGATGAAGCTTGTAAGCGCCTCGCAGCTTCTCTTCTCGCATCATCAGCAGAAGCAGGCCCCCACACTGACGCAGAGCGGAATGCCTACCTGCCCATCCCGTCTGAAGAGGACCTCATCGGCTTCGTGACGACAGGAAACTACAACCTGTCCGAAGGCAAGGGGACGGGTGTTGGATCGATTCTCATCTCGAAGATCATAAACTCAGCCGCTGAGAGTGAGAAAGAGAAAGGAAAAGGCAAAGCACGAGAGCGAAGGATGTGTATTGTTCGCTCTGCGGGTGAACGAGTCGGCAGGTTGGGCATTTGGGAAGTCGTATGAAGTTCCACATGATATTGTTACAAACCATGTGATTCTGTAGATGGACTCGAAAGAGAAGGGAGTTGTATCATGATACCCTGTTATGATATCTTATATTATATTGAGGCTTTTTACTAGGAATGGCAACTAGATCCGCTGCATGCACGGCAAAGGTATAAACTGGACGAGATAGAAATAAGAACATAAACGTACAGATTCTGTTTTGTCTATTACACATCCCAAACGTTTTGCTGTTCCACTTAATTTTTTTCCTCATGTAAGGAAAAAGGAATCGGAAACCACATACTTTAGATACAGACGTTCAGTATAATGAAAAAAAAAGAGATTTCACCTGCTTCCCATGTGAAGCAGGGAAAGCAGATGAAGGAGGAGATCAAGAATCTTCTCTTTCAAATAGTTCAACTCTCAACCAATAATCTTCTCCACGAACGCCTCCTCCAACTTCTGCACTTCCTTCTTGAACTGCTCGACTTCCTTCCAGCAATCCAACGGCCGTCGGTCGTTCAGCTTCAAGCAGCCCACAACGCCCGATCTGGCGCGGTCCACATTATCATCCAGTGCCGCAAGCCTCTTCCGTCCCTCAAGCTTGCTCTTCAACTGCTCGATCTCCTTCAGGACCGTCTCGCGGGACGCGTCGCGGTCGATCTGGACATTCTCCCCGGCAGGGGTGGGGAAGGTAGTAGAAGACGTATCCCGACCGGCGAAGGGAACAAGCGGCGTGTCCAGGGAGAGCTCCTCTTGCGTGTACTTGGACGGGCCGAAGGTCGTGGGGACCGAGTAGCCCGAGGTGGATGATGGAGGGGGGGGCGTGTTGCCGGATGAGAGGGTGCCTTCGTTCAATCGCTTCTCGATCTCAGCGAGAGTCTGCTGTTCACGTTGGCGGATGCGCTCGAGTTCCTGCGCAACGCGCGCTTGGATGTGTAGTTCGAGGGATTTGGCGCGGGAGGAGTCGGTCTGCGGGAGACAACTCGTAAGTTTATCTGGATTTGCAGAATATCCCAATTGAATTCTAAATGCAGTTTGGAAAAAAAGACTTACCTCGGCGCTTGACTGAAGAGCCTCTACCAAGTTAGAGGAGAACTGGACGGGGGTCTCGCTGTAGTTTTGATATCAGTGAGCTGAACTAGTTCATCTTCTTTTTTCGTCCATTTCCCCTTCCATATTTATATCCCCACAGCTCCCTTCCCCGGAAAACCCCGAAGAACAATCTTTCATTCTTCTCGTTTCAATCGCAAATACCATCTTGGACTCACCTGGCGAAAACATGTTTCGAGCCAGCCGAAGGCTCCTGCTTCGAGCTACCGGCACCCATTGTGTCTATTCGTCGTGCCTTCTTCTGTCCTTATCGACCGGTGCCCAATCGCGAGATGCCTGGAAGAGTTCCGGAGTTTGGCCCTGGGAGGACGAGGGAATTGGGCTCAAACTGGCGTGAGGTCGTCTCGGTCGTCGAGGATCCAACCTTGGCTGTTATCCAGGACTTCCGAGCTCCGTTCCGGCGAGAGAGTTGGCGCACCGGGCAGTACGTCACGTGGCTGGTGCGCTGGGTTGCTTAGTCAGCATGTGCATAGTTTCATAGTTAACTAGTTAGTTAGTTTTACATCTAGTTAACTACTGTAACTACTACGCTCTGGATCATTAACTCTTCAAAATATTGAATTGTTGCTAACCAGAAGCCAATAAATACACCTGCACTCTGTATCTGGAGAAGGACAAGAAGGAGAAGTAGAAGCAGAATAATATTATTAAATAACAATGACCGGTCATCCACCAGACAGTTATCTCTCTCTTGTTTATCCAAGATACACTTATTCCCCGTCAGGGCCGATCAGAAATTGATAACACGAGCATACAAAAAAAAAGTAAATGCAAATGGTAAAATCGTGCAATGTGGTACCAACAACAGTAAGAAGGAGAAGAAGGAGAAGCAGATGGAGAATAATGATATCACTAAATGACGATGACCGGTCATCGACCAGACAGTTATCTCTCTCTTATTTATATTGAAATAGGCTTAGGCCCCACCAGGGCCGATCACAAATTGTTGACGCAAGCATATAAAGAAAACGCAAATGCAGATGTCAAATATCGTCCAATGTGGTACCAACAACAGTATGGAGTATCGGGATATATATCTATATATATATGAAGACCTGGAGCTTTGAGAAAGAGTTGAACAGGGATAGAGGAGCGGCTATTTGGAGTGGAGTCATTCTCTTCGCAAGAAGACGTGGCGATAGCGATTCCCAACCCCTGGCTTGTAGCCTGGGCAATTCTCACATGAGAACTGCGAATTCGTGTCCCAGTCGTCATCCGATGATTGTGCGTCATAGTCCATGTTCGGGTGCTCATCTTGCCATTTCCAAATGAGTTTGCCTATGGTGGAAAGAAAAGTATTCTTGTCCATATAATCCAGGTAAAGATCGCGGTCGATAAACTCGGGGTACAACTCTTCCCAGTACTCGTCAGAATCCATCGCTGGGATCCCTTTGGGGAAGACCGAGCTCCAAACTCCTTGATCCCAATACTCTGGATCCTCCAGCTTGCCGCGTAGCGACTTCATGTGGAGGTATAGACATACCATCGCAGTATGCATATAATCTAGAAATTCCATTTCCCAATCATATGCCTTGATGATCTCAGGGTAGTCGATCGTAATTCGAAGGACCTGGCTTTCAAATTCGGATTTGCCAGAGATCCCTTGTTCGAACCACGTACTCAGGAAATCTCGACGTGCTAGATTGGCTTCTGGTTCCATCGGGTTTTTCCATAGGTCAACATGCATTGAGAAGTAATCGGCGGCCACAGCCCGGTCCACATCGTGACCTGAGATCTTATAATCCCTGGAAGAAGGGACGGACTCCCAGCACCTGTCCCAGACGGTGTGCATAGCCACATTGATTATTCGCCAATCAATCGCATCTTCTAGTTCTTTTGAGTGGGTCTCGATCCATATCTCTTCCACATTTCGCAAGGTACAGAAGGGCAAGCAGACGACATCGTGGTCACAACGGCAATGGTCGATTTGATATAAGGCACTTGTATGCGGTTTCATCCATTTGTCAACCCAATCTCCATCGATACCTTTCTTAAGCCAGATAGTGAGGTCGTGGATGCGTTTTGCTTTTTTGAAAATGGTTACAAGGTCGGTGACTTTTCGCCATAGGAAGAATATCTCGCCCTTCTTTCTTGGATTCGGTGGGTGGAGGTTTACATTCACCGTCTCAATTTTATGAAACGGAAGATTGTCAAAGCCTCGCGATTTGGCATCGGCCAAACTTTCTAGACTCCAAATGGGTTTTGCGCCGATATGTCTATCGTTTGAGTGCTCTTTGCTTTGGTCAAGGGTCACCACGGCCCATGACACGTATGCAGGAGTAAGAGTGAATGTTAGACAAGAGTTTTTGTAAAGCAGCGTTGATATTTCATCGTATAGGGCCCGATTTGCACGCAAGACACTGAGGTCTGTCTTCTGCCTCTGTGACATTAAGGGATGTTGATGTCGACTGGTCGGGAAGAATTCTTTCCAAATCATCTCCCGGATCTCGTAAGGAAGCCCGGAAAAGAGGCCGAGAATCATATTTTCCGATGCCATCTTCTGGAAGGATGTAAAGTTGAGGCTGGGCACCTGTGCTGTCTTCACGGATATTTCTAAAAAAATCAAGAATAGCAAGACTGTTTATCAGAGATGGAGGACGAAGTTGATTGTAGGAAGAATATTGATGATAGCTACTTGGAAAGGAGTTTCATGCTTTATAACCTGCCTTGTAATCAGGTGCTATCTTCTCCAACCTGGAACGAACCAAGCATCGCGGGTACCGTTCACCTCAAATAAGTCTAGCTTAACCCCATGAGTTATGTTTATATATTGAATATTTCTGCCTGCTACTTCTGCCTGCTACTTCTGCCTGCAAGGCAGTTGTGGAAGGAGAAATATAGTACCATCGCAAGCTGTTGTAATCTATCTCAGCAATTGGAACGTCCCATGTATTTCACTTTATGCCCTTTCCTGCTTTCCTCATTCGGATACCAAACCGGTACATCGTGACTGCTGGGCCAGCCCAAACTGTATCATCCATTCACACCTTCCAATATTAACCTCAAGCATACTCTGTCAGAGCTGCTTAAATGCAGGACTCCTGTTATGTTTCTGTTTCTCCCACGCATTTCTAGCTCCACCCATAGAGATAAATTGGCTGAGATAGTTGCTAGAGAATTCAGGCTCAGCGAGCTTCGCTCCCAGATATTCTATTCTCACAAAATAAAGACACCCGATTTGTGTCTCTCCTTTCCTCTCTTCTCTTCTATCTTCAAGTGGGCTTTGAGAGCAAAGTAAGTACATACGATCAACCCTTCTATGATGTGTGCTGGTTTACCAACAGATTGTTAGCACTACTGATAAGTCGCAACGATAACTCTTCGGAGTTATCAAGTGAAGGCACGCACCGGCACTCCAATTCACCAATGGACGACGATACAGATGGCGGGGACGTCAAGTGCCCAGGAGCGTCGCCGGGATATTCTCCAAATGTCATTGAGGCTCTGGAGAAGAGACTGGGTCAGGTCGAAGCCGCCCACAAGCGGCTTCAATTTTATTGTCGGTTCGGTGACTATGCTGGAAGGGTTTTCAAGTCCCTCCTGAAGACAGCAAAGGGAGCAGGTTACATAACTTCCATCAATGGTCTCCAAGGTTGCAGAATTCCTGAACGAAGAGGCGTCCGCATGCTCCTCCGGGGGTGACAAGGTCCTTGAGACATTAGACGCTACTATCAAAATCCTTCGTTCTCGTGGTCTGAAACTCGACTTGGACATGGTCAAGACTGCGATATTCGCATACAAAACTCGGAACTTGCTCTGCCATTCGGAGACGGGTAATCGCAGGTCGCCGGCGATCTGGACCGGTTGTCCAGTCTCATCGATCGGGACCAGTTGGATTTACCCGACGCTCTACCTGACGACGAGGCCGAGCAGCTTGACACATGGCGAAAAATGCTGGACTTCTATCGGGACAGCGAGGAGATAGACAACATGCGGCGGCCGGCGCCCTGTTGGCTTCTCGACCGAAGCCTGATATAGATCTGAAAAACGCCTTCTTCCCCGGAAACATTCGCCCCAAGGACGGGAGGGACTCCGATGCGTCAAAGAGTCGGCGAGGCCAAGCAGCTTCCGACCCGACTTCCAATGGTCCTTCTCTGAAACGGATGGCCGATGGAAATCTGGATTCAGAAAGGGTGACAAAGCTTGCACGCATTCTTGGAGAAGCCCCAGGGACGAGTATGACCAGGGGAGAAGAAGAGTTCAAGAGGCAATCGGAAGGTCTCTTGGGACAACTTGACGGTCTGTATCGGAAGAACCCAAGTAAGGCACACCGAGCCCTCGAATATTGCAAGAGGCTCGTGAGAAATATGGGAGCAGCGGCTCACCAGGAGGTCCCGGAGGAAGAGCCCCGGGCCGAAAGGGAAAAGGAAAGGAAGTCTAAGCGGAAGGCAGAAAAGAAAAATAAACGGAAAGCAGTGGTTGAAGGTCGGATAGCCTGATCAACCGTCCACTCGTTTTGCATCCCCCTTCTCTTGTATATTTTACCACCCCGTCGCTCGTTTTATTTTCTGCCGCCGCTATCTTTCGTCTACTCGTTATTTGCCGCCCTTTTCTCTCTCTTGCCCCTTTCCCCCTCCAATGCGGTTCACCTTTTCGCGGTATTGGAGACCAATATCCACAAACAGTGGTGAAGCTGATGAACCGATCCTGTAATCATCCTTGCTCTTGTTCCTATTTTGTTTTCTTTTTTATCAATTTTGAATTGTCTTTGTTTTCTTTCTCCGTCTCACCGAGAGGGAGTTATAAAATGTGTATACTACAGGGGCGATAGCATTGGAACGCCTATTTCAAAAGTGTAACAAGTCCACACCACATCTCCTCTACCTTGTACTCGAGATCTAGAACTGGCAACAGCCGAAGTTAAAATAAATAGAACATTACCAATAACCTTTTATTTCCTGAAAGAAGTATCTGACAGTTAGAATGCCATCTTTCTCAACTTGAAACAAACTAGACATCGCGAGGGCGTATACCTCTAATTAGCCTAGCCCATCCAGATAAAGATCAAGGATCTTCGCCTACGACTTCTGCCTGTAAGGCAGTACCACGAGAACTATCCCTCGTTATCTGTCGTAATAACCTCTGAGCGACTGTGTGACAGGGAGGTCACCAAATCTGAAAACTATCTTGCTACTTCACATAGTCAAGTAATTTGTGGGATTTCCCCTCTTATAATTCAAATTCTGTGCTCTATGATCAAAAAAGAACAATGATCAGTAGTTAGGCTCCTTGAAGAGTACTATCCCGCATCGGCTAATACATAATCGGATCCATGGGATGTCACCTTCCTCGACCTGGAACGAACCAGATATCGCGACTGCCGCCATTACCATTTATCTCCAAATAAGCTAAGTAACCGAAGCGCTCTACCATGATAGCGAATAGCTATTATTTGTGATTATTCTGCCTCATAGGCAGAAGTCAATAGGCGGAATTCTATGACATAGCCGTTCATACAAATCCATGTGTATGGTTGAACTAGACTATTTGGAGATAAACGGCGCGGGATGTATTTGGTTTGTTCCAAATGGAGAGATTGATGACTAGCTGAGATGGCATATTCCTCCTTTAAAGAGTCTACGGTATGTACTGTTTCTACTTACAACTTCTTCTCTACTACAGCTATCTTGATTATACTCGAAACACATCTATATACGTGAAACACCCCAGGTTCTTCCCTCATCTCGATACTATGTTCAATAAAACGTCTAAGAAACCAATAAGAAAGCAAGGTCTCGGCCTCTTTCAGAGATTACCCTACGACGTCAGAGAATTGATCTGGTGGGAGTTCATTCCAACCGGAAAAGATGAAAGATACAATCCGAAACAACGAGTTCAAGCAACCGATCTCGGAATCTTACGCACAAGCAGAGAGATATACAATGAAGTATCCAAATTACTTTATCAATTCACCAACTTGATATTCACTATGGACCCTCTTCATCGCGGTTTGAACGTGTCTTTCGAGCAGAGGCTCTATTCCCGACGTGTGGATGGTGCCCTCCACTATCAAGGGACCCTATGGCACCTGAAAGATATAAAACATGCGAAATCTTCTGGCTTCTACGATCTTCCTTTTCACAAGTTCTGGGAAGTCATCGTCAATCTACGCGCGCCAAACGCGTCAAACCCACACGAGCTATTTTTCCTCTGGAAAGACATCACCCAGCTGATGATCCCGGTTATTAAAGAAACTGCAATTGACAGTTTGGTTATCCGTCTGCAGAAAGGGTCCAAAGCCGACTGGCTCAATGAATGGAGACGACCGAACAAAAGCTCTGTTTACCAAGTGATAAACTCCCGACATGACTATGATGTCGTTATTGTACCATTCTGCGCATTAAGGAACCTGAAGGATATCAGTATGGAAACATACTCCTGGCAACTCCGTCGTGAGATGGACTGGAGGGTCATCAATAGAGGCATTGAAACCGTGCGTCTCCAAGCTTGGAAACATTGCGAATCGCCGAATCACAAAGATTATGGGATCCTTGAACACGACGTGGACCGCGCGGTAGCGGGAGATTACTTCTGGCTGCATTTGGAGATGTGGAAAACGCGCCGTCCTATCTATGATCGGTTACGACGGGACTTTCTCAGTCAATGGTTCGATCAGAATGGTATCTCCGAATTCGAGAGACAGATTCAAAAGATCGTGTACCAGTATCCGGAAATCATCGAGACTTACGATCCGGAAATGAATATCTTAGAGGATATGCACATGACTCTGGTGAGTCTGTACAGCTATGCGAAGTCACTGCGTGGCGAGGAAGATCTGAGTGACTGGGACCAAGGCATTTGGTATTCTACCTTTCCCTTTGGCGTTCCAATTCAAGAGGATCATAGATTTTGCGCGAGTGGTGGGTTTTACATGAGACGACGTGATTTGTTTAAATCCAACGCCTATCTCAAACATACGAAAGAGAATGATTATCTGAGCACCATGACGGACATTATTATTGATTGGAGAATGAAGAATATTGGTAATCCATTACGGAGATGTCCTTCATGTGATGAATATGGCTTTAAGAGGGGTCGTTAATGCAATCTGCGGACATGTTCCTACATTTTTTCCATCAAGTGAACTTTGTATTTAGGATGATGGAGTTTTCAAGGACTGATTGTGGTCGTTCTGCTGCGGTAGAGCAGCATGCTTGTGGGATCTTTTCTGTTAGGGATAGGGAAGAATCTTAATATAATTACTAATTCATTAATTCATTAACTAAAGTGGACGTCCTATTCCTTGTATAATAATTGAGTTCCATGAGTACGATAGACTAGTTGATCAACGTGACCAACTTCTGGCTGCACAGCCCTCGCATCATACTCGCAGGCAACATTCTAAAATATCAATATATCCAAACGAAATATCGGGTAAATACATTCATATCCATATACCAAGCTCAACGAGTTGGTACGTACATATAGTGAGATGATGAAAAAAAAAAATCTCTATATCACATTATGTCACGAAAGGGTTTTCCTTCTCCCAACTAGCTACTGAGACTGCTGAGAGATAGTGAATTGATAAGAAGGATTCAGGTCATTCTGGACAGGATAAAGGTCGCCGCCCTCGAACTTCATATCGCGCGCATAGTACTCGACGACGACGGACTCCTTGCTGATGTCGAGAGTGACGAAGCCATTGGCAGCTGACTGGTTGTTGGCTCCAAGCCACTTGGTGTAGGGTCCTAGAGGAACACCATTGTTACAGTCTCCAACCTCAGGATACCCAGCGCCACCAGACAGGATGAAGTTGGTCTGGTTGTTGTAATAGTGAGCCATGCAGTGGTCGTGGCCGTTCAGCACAGTGGCCTTGTGTTGCTCCACGATCTCAATGAGTGGCCACAGTTCGGTGTAGTTGGTGAACGAGGACTGGAAACCATGGTGAAGTTGGAGGAACTTCCATTCGGCATTTGAGTTAGCGAAAGCCTGCGCCAGAAAGTCGACTTGAGTCTGGGTATCCTGGTGGCAACTGGTAGTGTACTCGTTCTGATACACAGAGGTTGACTCCTGGTAGTCGTCGATGAAGCAGTCTGAATCAACAACGACAAAGGTCGCAGTCCAGTCACGACCCTGGATATCGTACGAGTAGTATGGTAGACCCTTGGTGCCGAAATACCAGCGGTCATCGTATACAGGCGCAATCTTGGTCTCAAAGTCGACACCAGCCTGGCCCTTGACGACATCATGATTGCCCAGACACTGATACCAACGTGTGGTATTGAATGCCGGGCCCGTATACATGTCAACCCACGCTTCCTGGAAACGAATCACGCCGCCAGTGGTAAAATCGACACCGCTGTCGTAGAAGTTGTCGCCAACGGAAACGAATGCGGAGCATCCCTTGAGCTCGCAGACCTGGCCGATATAGCTCGCCGTGTCGGCCTGCAATGCAGTGGCATTGTTAATGGCCGCGCGGTCGCCGGCATCGCAGTCATTTTGGAGCTCCCGTGGAATTGTAATGTTTGCTGCCTGCAACTTGGGCATAACGTCGTTGCAGAAAGTGGCCGGGGCGGGATTCCAGCCGGTCCATCCAAAATCTAATAATCACCGTTAGCCCGAGTCGAGGTCCTATACAATATGCAAAGACGTGTTGTGCAGATATACATACCACCGATGACTCCAAGAGTAACGGTCTCGGGAAGCTGAGTAGAGCTGGCAATGCCAGCAAGGGCAGCCATGGCGACAGTTACGGAGAGGACCGACATCACGACTAGAGCTTAGAACTAGCAAAAATGATACGAGATTCTGGTAGAGATCATGTCCTCCTACGTTCTGTTCATCTTTATTTATATACCACAATGTGCCACGCGGACTGAGCCGCTGGTGGGCTTCCAGGAAAGAAAAAGATATCTACATTAAAACCAATGAGAGCGAGCAAGAATAAAACGTGACCGAAACTGAAGCAGTCTTTGGCAGTGGAATTCGGCCACGAGGGACCGTGCGAAAGTGCGCTGAAGAAGCTAAAGTAATATAGAAGAAATCCTGGGAAATGTGCTTCCATGAATATTATTATTAACTATCGACCTTCCGGTTGAAGAAACGTGGGATGTCGTTTTCAGCCAATAACGAGCGGGTAGCATCATGCTAAGCTTTTTATGCATTTGACTAGCAGATCTCGAACCGTTGCCGATGTTTCCGTCGGAGTATCAATATTGTTAGTTTGGAAGCATCTGCGAATCATTATTATTTACACAGATGTCATGCAGTTTTAGCATCATTTCTAATATGGCGGAATACGCTACCCAACTTAACCCTATTGCCAGAGAATAGAGCAGTTAACATCGAGAAAGGAAAACAGGATCATAGTTATTTCAGGAGTACACATTTATAGGTCAGAGAGCAAGGAATTTCCTACTTCATTTCATCGTATTCCAGAATCCAAGGTGCATTACTGCGCAACAAATGATTGTGTTCGACAGGAAATTTCCTTAGCCATGATACTTGGATCTACCAAACAAGACTATGAAAAAGTTTCACCAGCCGTTTCATAGACCATATAATACGCGTAAGGGTTACATAAATCGTCAGGTTTCGAACTATTACTTAATTGATCTAGAAGTAGCTATGTAATACTTTAGGGATGAGCTATCTTCAAATTTAACTAGCTGTCATGGCGCAGTCTCCTAACCAGATCTCGAAGGTGCGGGAGATCTCCACGGCTCACCACGTGCGACACTAGTATTGATGAAGTAGTACGAAAGGAGGCAAATTATTTAATAATTTCATTCAATTGGGTTTCAATTCATATCCGTCCCAGACAGCTTTGAATTGACTGTTAAAATAAACAGCAGCAAGACATACATCAAACTCGGGACGCCGCGGGGAAAAGTGGTATCTAGCTATGAAGCATATCAAACAAAAAAAATCAACAAACGAAAGAAAAAGAGAATCGAAGTTAAAGGACAAGTACGTTGACCCACAGGGTACGAGTTGCAAGTCCGACCTTGAAAGAAGAACATGTAAGTTAATGCGCGACAATAATAGACCATACAATAACTTCTCGATCGAGCCTTGACGATTATTAAAGAACAGATAAGGAGAGAGCAATATCGAAACATCGCTGAAGATCATATTCTAGATCGTCTTCGTTGCAGTCAAATCACAGCTGCCGTTATCTTCCGACGGCGAGAGAGAGGAAGAGGGTAATCATCTGCGGGGGAAGGGGGACGTATTTCCGCTGAGATGGAATGTGGATAGAATAGACGTTTGTATCTCTGTCGTATGCGGAGTGGTTCGTCTTTCTCGTTGTGCCATGGAGTCAGAAAATGAGACCGATTACTGCGCTCTCTGTGCAGCACCGGCGGGACGGGCCAAGTCGAATTCACCTAGCATCGCCTCCAGTTCCTTGACGCTGTCAGTGCCGTCGTCTGAGGGGGTTGTCTCAAAACTGCTGCGGCGATCTCTGTCACGAGAACTGGCCCAGCTGTCGGGGCGGTGGTCCTGGCTCTGTTTCTGTATCGTCCTTGGCGGCGCAGGGTGATGAGGAGAATGAGACACATCGTCCAGTCCCAAACCATTCAGACCAGGCGTCGGTGGGAAGCCCGTCCCCATGAACGGGGAGGTAACTCCAGCAGGTGAGAGGAGAGGAGTTGGGAGCCCACTGCGCACACAGTCCGAGTCAAAGGTCACACCAGTATCAAGTGCGGCAAGCAGGGCGGCTTGGAGCATCTTGTTCTGGCGTTCGAGCAGTGCAATCCTCGCCTCCAGAGCCTGAGGAGCGCCATGCAATTGACTAGCGCGGGACTCCTGCGAATTGGTGGTCCGTTGCGAATATTGCGATCGAGGCGAAGACTGTTCAGGGGCATATGGCCCCCGGAACTTGGGGGTGGGAGGATTTCCCTGGTCAGCAGACGATGATTTACGCCTGTAGGAGCTGGAGTCGGAATCCGTCACCACGATGCTCTTCGGACGAGGAATCCTCTTCGACTTCCGGCTGTCACTATGCTCTTCACGGGAGCGGCCAGGGCGGACTCGTGTTCCATAGGCCTCATCGTCGGACGACGGCAAGGACGGCGACTCAGAGCGTCTGCGTGACTGGCGGTCGTCTTCGATGACGATTGAATCCAGGGAGAGCCTGTGTGAACGCCTTGCGCTGTTGCTCCTACTAACACTGCTGGCGTGGGAAGTATGCTTGTGGCGAGGTGAACTCGGCGCGACAGATGTCTCGCCAGTGCTACCGGTAGTAGACAAAGGGAGCGAAGTCGTCGAGTCCGTCCGCCTCTGGCTGCCCGCTCGATAGAGGAAAGCAACTGGAGGGTCAGCCGGGAGGGGCATTGTTGGAGGAGGATGAGGATTTTCGGGAATAGGGCTCCTGCAAATAAGACGCTGTCTGTCATTCTCCGGTCTCAGGGTGTTCTCCGGTTTGCTGGACGTGTCTTCCTTGCCGGATGTATCCTCTTTGCTCGACGCATCTTGCTTGCTAGCAGTGTCTCCGTCGCTGGGTTTAGGTGGGATGTGGTTAGGGAAGGTCGACTGGCCCAGCACCGGGGACTCTTCATAGTGTTTCTCTTCTTCGGGCTCCGACTTCATCCCCGCCTTCGAGTGACTGCGAATCCGCGAGATATCGCGCATCCGCAGCGCCCGCACCCTCTCCTCGCGGCGACGGATATGCTCCATCTGGGGATCCACGTTCGGAGCGTCTCCCTCTCCGGCAGTTGAGGTGCTCTCCGCCGTATAGCTTCTCATTCTGGCAGTCTTCGGAGACCGTGGAACGAGGACGCGGCGGTGGCGGGGAGAGTAAGCGGCGGGCGGGCCGTCCCGATCATGATTGAATTGCCCCTGGTCGGGGGAAGGATCTGGATATGAAGTACTCGAGGGGCGGAATCGTCGCTTGGAGACCGTGCTTTTTCGCTCAGATCCCGCGCATTGAGCGACAACCGGTTCTGGAAGCGATGGCAGAGGCCTGGTGGGAGCTGGCGGAGGTGCACCGTCGATCGCAGCATGGAACGAGGCTCGCAATGGAGAACTGACAAAGGGGTCGCGCGAAACACTAGAGGCTCGTACGGGTGCAGGAGCCCCAGACATTATCGACTGCATTGTGGTTGACAAATTCGATCCATCAGGGAGCGGGAAGCTGTCGATGCTGATGTTGATGTCGTTCTTCACGGCAGCGGGATTGCCGTGAGCTTCAGCCTCATTCACTGAGGACGAGCAGGCCGGAGGGAAGATCGACAGGGCGCTTCCAAGCTGTCGACTCGATGGAATCGCACCGGAACTAGCGAGGATGGAGCTTGGAGTTGCACTTCTCCTGCTGGACACGCGCGGAGGCAGAATGTCTGGGAACAGCGTTCGTGAAGCTCGAGCGCTCAGGGGATCGGGCGACTTCAGACGAACAGTCGTCTGGGCATCCTGAAGATGCTGGTTCAGATTCGAATTCTGCGCATTCTTTTCTCCTGCGTCATGTCCATCAACTTCACTGCTGTCATGCCGGAGCTTAGCAGCCGTTTCCTCAGCGCCAGGGGCAGACGGGGCTCCGTGATGGGCGGTTTCGGCGGCGCTATCGACACGCCGTTGCTCGTCTGCTCTGCCCTCAGGGGAACTGGCCTGTTGTCCACCTTCAACGGCGGCCAAATCAGGCAGTCCAGCAGGCATCTCCGCCGTTTCACGTTTGTGATCGTCCTGGCTGGGCTCGGCTGGCTGGTAGGGCGGCGGCCCGGCCAGGTCCTCGAACGATAGCGAAAACTCCACGAGCGACGGTAGGTCGTCTATTGAAAGGTCTACAGAGGTCTGGTCGCGGTTATTTCCTGCTGTCTTCTTCGCTCTCTCGTCTTCGAGCCATGGCTGACCAATCGCTTCGACATCGCGCTTCGACCGAGAACGAGCCATATCCAACGACTGCCGGTCAACTTGATCGACGGACGAAGTAGGTAGGAAGCCCGCTCGTTGCAGGGCGACTAGTTGGCGATAGGCATTGTCTGTCTTCTCGGAGGGCGTTGGAGTTGCTGCGCCCTCGCGTTTAAGTCGTCTATCGCTCTTCGACTGGGCAAGCTGGAGCAAGCGTCGCCGACCAGCCTTGAAGATATCCAGAGCGCTGCCGCCGTCTAAACGAGATCCCTGTAATGGCGCGTCTTGCGTCTGAAAGAAGCGCACCAGCTCCAGGATATTCTCACTCTTCATTGGGCGGTTCGACGCTCCCGCGGAGCGCGGCGATGGCCTGCGTCCGCTAGAGGTGCTGTGCGAGTCCTCCATCACCAGGTTTGGAGTAGAAGCGGCTGCTCGACGGCGTGTTGAGGGTTGGTGACTGGGTCTGCACCTCGGGACAGATGGACTGGGAGCGACAGCGCTACCGAGCAGGGTAGTGGTGTGCTGCATTGGAGAGGGGGGGGGGCAGGAGAGACTCGGTTGTGTTGTTCAGGCCAGGCGAGTCCCGTAGTTGCTGCTCACCATGAAGCAAAAGCGTGTGAATGTGAGACAAAGAATACTGTCTGGTGTTCTCGATATACAACCAACCCGCAGTGTTCTGAGACTGGCCTCCCAGGAACTTCGTCTCCAGGAGAAGACGAAGCTATCTATACAGCTGCCGGGTCGACAAAGAAAATGCAAATCAATATGTACAAAAGAAAACTATGTATACAACTATGTATACTGCTTACCCGTGGCGCAGCACAGATAAGCCTGGCTGACACAATGAAAAACAACAAAACAATGGATCCCAATACGGACCAAAAGTCTAGGGAGTCCAGGGGCTTCTTCTACCTCTTATACGGGTCATGGACAGATCGATTGACCCGGTAGCCAGAACAAAGACGGCCCTCCTGGCAACCATCCCGATGGGGCACATTGATAAGGTTGGCCGCCGTAACTATCCAACCCTTCCTTTGGGACATATGCGGGGCTTGGAGAGCCGAACAAGATAATCATCAATGCAAGCAAGGCTCCAGTTGCGAGTATTGAGTTTTCCGACAAAGACAGGCGTGGCCCTAGTCGGTTACCTAGTCGGTTACCCAGTACGAGAGAAGCCCCAATCGTGGCTTGATATTATCATAGCCATAATAACACTGATAGTTAATCCTACGATGGGCTCACGACCAGTCAGGACGACAACTCTGATGTGTCCCCAGCGACGACCACAGACAACCATTATATCAAGAGCCTAGAGATGTACACAACGATTGTAGAGCACTGGGTATAGGAAACGACACCATGGACAGCTGGACCGGTGTCTAACGAATCGCCATCGTAGTCACGAAAAGCATACGGTACCGAGGACATGATCAAGAAAGTCTACCAGGGACCTAGGCTGAAGCACTCAATATTGGGGTCCACATGTATGGAAAAACACCGGTCGTTGGTTCGGCTGCCCAGTCTCTGTATGATTATTATCTGTCTCGTCCCTGTCCCAAGAACAAGGTGCCTTGAAGCAAGCAAGGGACATTGGAGCCCTCCGTCACCCGGGCCACGGGCTTTTGGGGCGACGGGATTAAAAGGATGTCAACCATTTGATGATGTCCATTGACTCGAGTAATTTTAACCTCCGAATAGACTCGGATCACTGGTTCGTCCACAGTGCCACACAGAGGTGACAAAAACCCATCAAGCTGGAAAAAGTGTCAATCGTCGAATAACCCGGCACCAGAGCACCACCAGTGGGGCCGAGATGTCAAGTGAAGTGAAGTGTAAGTCAATTGTATGGTAAGTGAGGAGCCAGATCCGATCCAAGCGGCGCAAGGGGGTTTCCTGGACGGGCGAAACCTAGGGATAAAAGCTCCAGTCATGATGCATCTGTCTCCCTTCTAGGCAAGGAGCACATCATCACTCGTCGCAGGAAGACGTCAGGCGTAACCTTATAAGCCCTGACAGGTCACAAACTCGAAAAGGGAGACCCAGAACGCTGTGCCTTGCCGGAGTCAAAAGAGCGCGCTTGGGGAAAGCTTTTATGGTTCCGCGACGAACTGCAGTTCGGGACGGGATGGCACGATCCGCGGGGTAACAAAGTAATAATCATCATAATAATAACCCAAGGGGATGTGCACAGATCCGATGATCGCCGGGCAATCACCAGGGAAGACGGGAATTTCTACCGTTTCTTTCTTGCAGTGTCCACAACTGTCATCAATAGACGAGCATATTCGATTTCCGCCTGATCTCCTGTCCTCGGTATAAAGAGACATTGGAAGCTATCCCGGATGCTCGCTTTTCACTCGATGTGGCGATGCGGAACCCGTGTCCGAGTCAAGGTCTCAGTAGTAATAATAATAATAATCAGGACCTCAGCAGTTATAATTAGCAGTACATAAAACATTTGGAATCCAGAGTCTAATTCTTCTTAGCGACCCAGCCGCATTCGCATTCTTACCCGCTTTCTCCATCCCGATCACTGGGAATTCAACGATTATACTTCTCGACAGGTAAAAAAAAAAGGTCGCCTTCCTTTTCTTGCTTCTTGCAGTGCACCGTCCCGTTAGTACTTAGTAGTGACGAGTAGTGAGTGATTCATCGTGTATTAGCTGGCCTTGTTTGCTGGATGGTTTTTTTTTTTGTCTTATTTTTTTTTTTGTTTCTCGGGTATGCCGACACTTGGAAACGGCCAGACTACGCCGCCCAGCAGCCACGACGCACAATTGCCGTTAACTACTGTTGACAGTGCAGAGTGCAGAGTAGAACATGGCGTTGTAGAATGTAAAAATCCGGCATAGGGGCACATCATGCGAACTGACGCCGCACAGCCACAAGCAGCTGCACCTTTTCTCCATCTTCCGTCTTTCCGCCCGAGCGATGGGGATGACTTAGATCGATCCAGCCTTGACACAGGAACCACCGTGACGCATGATCATCCCCAGTTATTATTTATTATTCGACCGGACAAATTCGAATGCTGAAGAACAAGGAAACACATGGCTCGAAGCGTGGCCTTCGGTGACCTCCTTGCTCCGGAAGCCCTGGAATCCACACATATCCCCGATACAATCGCGTGTTTCTTTAGTGACTGCGTGAACGTGTTCGTGCGCTGCAATCTCATGGCAGACTCTGTGTGCTGCTTCGTCTCCACCTGTTCGAAAGAGTCCGAGAAGCAAAAGAGGGGTAATGTGATGGCTTATTTTTCTCGGGACCCTTCTCCCGATTTTCATCCGTTTCTTATCTTTCCACCATGGAAGGCAACAGTCCCTTCCTGACTGTGCTGTCTTCATCGTGAGTGAAGGATGTCAAGTACTGCTGCTTCTAGGTGCTGCTTCTAGGATTAGAGACGGTGATTCTGGACCTCATCTTTTCATTTAATGCCTCCGTATCACGAGCTGTACTCAGCTAAACGTACCTTCCATGCCCCTGCCTCAGGCAGGCAGATTTCACACTCCCAAGGGGATCTCCTAGACTACATAACTAAACTAAAATATTCTAATATGAGGAAAATGAGATAATCATAGCACACACAGGACGAGATTCTTATTCGAGCGCCATGATCCGTCCAATACAACATAGACAGAGCCACAGACATTGTATACTACTACTTCACAACTAACGTTCCTGACATCGAAACAAGGTCTGTTATCATGGGCCAAACAATGATCAGCAGCAAACAGTCCATCGGACTGATAGCATCCGGTCCTCACTCGCGGTATACCTGGTAACACGCCCTTTTCATATAGCTACTCGGCGACGTTCAGAACGGTCAAAATCTAGACAACCTTTTGACAGCTCTAGTCACTTGGCAGTAAGCATCAATGTCCCCATTGTTCCACAGAATTCCACTTATTCACGCTTCCACATAGCACGAGAGAATCCGGGCGTCCAATCGCACCAATTGAACCCATTACCTGAAATATGAATGTCACGATTTCTATGAACGGACTGTATACTCGAACCCTGGACACTCTGCCTTTGTTTGCCACGAGTTAAGCTGTCTAGTCCTGTCTCCACGATCTCACGCTACGACAAGTCAGCGCTAGCAACATCTGGGAACCCCCCCAGGTATGATTCTGTTTGACTAAACACGATAAGGGTCAGATCTTACAGAATCACCAACCACTCCCAAGTACAGTATCTGAAATATTTGCTGTCGCTGTTATGAGATATCACGACTCTTCCTAGAGCCGCTACGTTCGAGTTTATCGAGGAATCGGAGGATAGATAGCACTTAGTACCTAAGGACTCTCTCAGATCCCCTTACCAGCAAGCAACAATCCGACTCGATTTACTAGCCAACACTGCTTCTCGTGGGACCCTGCCCCATAATCACCGAAGTTACTACTTATCTTTGTGATCAAAAATGATGCATCATCTCCATACGTCCCTGGACTCCGGTTATCTAAGATATACTCTCTTGCTTCTTCACATTCCCTACCCGCTTATCCTCCCACTACATTACCATATATATCTTTACAAGATGCTGAAACTTAATGAAAACTCACTCACCCAAAACTAAAATATTCTGCTTTCCACATTAATAATCAACTTCTATATGTAAAATGACCTGGATAGAGGAATATACTTAACCATAGAGATTAATCACTAAGCGCAAGTTTTAATGTTTGGTTTTACTATAAATCTTCATGGTATTTCAACTTACCTATTCCAGCGATGAACCTTATAAAACTCAATATTAACATTGGGAAGAACTTCTTTTCCATCTGAATTTTCAAAGATACCGTGTATATTGTAAGGCGCAGACTATGTTATCGCTGTAACTATACACCTGGTCACGTGACTTGATACTCGACAGCGCACCCAAGGCGCACCTTGGAACTTTGGCGATGAGTCTTAATACCTAGCCAATGCTCAATAATTTAGAACGGCCAGTTTGCGGAGGTTATATCAGTAGTGATCAGAGCTGCACGGGGTCTTCCACCCAAGGCATGACGATGGCTGGGACTAGTCCAGGTTTGGGATTCGAGGACGAGTTGAGGCTCGTTGATATCCATTATTGGATTAGACTCACGGTCGTGCGCTGGATCTTAGGCTCTGAGCTGAGCGTTTCCATCTCCATCATGAGGATTAAGTATCTCAGATGCTCGTCGGGTTTTACTATCCTCCTCCACCCGTAACCTCATACCGAGTCCAGCGGAGAAGCCACGGGCATAGACTGCGTCTACCACGTCTTTCTTGGGATATCTCCCCCAAGTATCTTCACGGAGCACCTAATCGTGCCCTGCAGTGAGAAAAATGGGTACGAAAAAGTGAAATCCTATACTAAAACAGTTCACCTAAAGGTTTTCTCATCGACTCCTTTCCAATGCTCGATCTTTTCGAAGAAAGCCCTCGACTTTCCATCAGAGATCGCCACCAAAGACCCGTCCCAAGAAACAGCAAATGTTACCAGCGCTCCGTTATGAATGCAGAATTTTTCCAACAGGAACTTATTATCATGTTCCTGGCTGATGAATTAGCTACGTGACGAAATGGGACGTCATTATGTAGTGAAATAGACAGCGAGAGAAGATCACCATGCCCTGTCTTTGGCACGCTGAACTTCCGTATTGGTGCATAATGC